TTCGGTCCGTGGGGTCCACGTGCGATAGAGTTTCTAAAGGAAATCTATTCGCGACTTGTCGTTGCTGGTGATAAGAGGGTTAGATCTTTTTTCGCTCAGAAGCTAAGTATCATCTATAATATAATAAGGAAAAAATTCATACATAATGGCAATTCAAATCTTTAAGTCTTTACCCGACGAGTTTAAAAATTTCCCAGTGACAAAGTTAAAAAACAAACTTCAAGAATGACTTTTACTTAATTGTTTTATACTGTAATGATTATCTTGATCACAACAATTTAAACAAATTACATATTTAAATATCTGTAACTAAAAATGCTTGAATTTTTTGCTGTGAGTTTATAAAGGACTTCGATAGTTATAGAATAGTTATTAGTTAGTTATTTTTACTGTTTTTACATATGAACATTTATATTTTGACATTTGTAAACGGTTGAGTGACATTGTTTTTGGTATAATTAATCTTTTGACATTTATTCTATTATCAATTGGACATTTTTATATTACATTAATAAGTTAAATTCATCAATAATTGAAAAAAAATTGTTAAGTATATCTATTTAGTCAAAATTTGCACGCCTCGATAAGGCAGAATGTATAGGAACTTTTACGTTTTAATAATACTCTTGTAATGTCTACCTACATTCTATGCAAATAAATAATTATGAATTATGAATCGCCATTCAGCGAGGAAACTCAGTTAGCGTTTTTGACATGATACCACGAGAAGTAGGATTATATAATAATTTAAGTTATTGCTTTTATTTTATTTATTATAGTTTTTTTAAATATTGTTTTATATTATTCAATGTTATGGAAATATTAAATATGAGAAAACTAAATATAACTTCTTGTAAGTTAACGTATTATAAATAAGTTAGTATTTTCAGCAAAAAAATAATATGCTAAAATAGACTGTTTAAGGGGAAATATAATGTCAAATGGCTTAGCAAGATCCTTCGTTATGCCGAAAATATTGCAGCATTAATTTTGAAATAAATATATGGTAAAGTTGAGGATTAATGTTAGTGATTATGTTAGACGAAAACACGATTTCGTAAAATTTTCTCGATAGAAAAAAAAATCCAAAGTTACCTCCAAAATAAACAATAAACCGCTGTTATTCATAAAATACTTTAAATAAGATCATGAAACTTTGCATACTAACTGAACTAACTATAAAGCAGTGCTTATGTTATTTACTTTTTTTAAAATACCATTATTTTCACTGTAAAAAGAAATTACCTAAACTATCGGCGTCGTGAGCTTGATTCCCGTCGTTCCGTTAGTATCCCTTAGGCTTTTGAAGGGAGTAGTTGTGTCGCTTACGATCAGAATATACATTACGCAACAGTACGACGTAAAATTAAAATGGGAAATAACCGTGATAAAAATAAGAAGCGGCTGGCTTGGCTTTAAGAAACAGGCATAAATATGATAAACCTAATGAAATAAGTGTCTAACGACCTATCAACTTACAGTATTAGTGATTACAAACATCTCGGTACATAGCATACGACGCGCGGGGAAGTGGGGGCGAAATTAGGATTTGAGCTGACTTACTCTAACCTCTTAAGCACACAACGAACGAATCGGGCTATTACTCGCTCGCTCTTATTCGCCCGCTCGTATGATTCGTTCATGTGCAGCCAGCCCAAACTCGAGTTAGACAGATCCGACTCGAGTTAACTCGAGTTGACCCATTGCTACTCGGCAGTATTTTAAACCTTACCTTATCTTATATGGAAGAAGTTTTCCAAGGTGGACTCAATTATTTTTGACCCCGCACTGGCAGTGGAAGTATGCCGTATTATTGACGCCAAGGTCCCCATGACTGGGCGTGCCGCTATACAAAGTAGCGCCATCCCAGCCTGGAGAATAAGAATTGAGGAACGTAACGCAAAGACTAGGGCCCACATCGACAGACTGATATGCTCATGCTATTGTATCTTCTAAGAAAGTTCGTAGTTGATTAAACTACCGCCATCTAGTCATTGACTTATGAAACACTTAATACTTTTTTATTTATAGCGGCTCTGGAAAATTCGATGATCATCGATGTTAAAAATTAAAACATCAATGTCAATTAACCATGAATTGGAAGGCTTTTTAGTGGTCAACTGGCCCAAAAGATTGAATATACTTCTCTCTTTAATGAAAAGCAAAAAATATTGGAAATATTGATATTACAAATGAATTAGATATTTGTTAACTTCTTTCAATTTTTTTAATTACCGTTTTACAAGTACATTGCTTATTAATTTCTTTTATTTCATTAATAATGAACATTGATAATGTTTATTTAACATCGATGTTTTGGGTAGGATGAAAATCGAACATGGATGTTAAGCTATCGATGCCAACATCGCTGTGATCATCGATGTTTCTGCAACATCGATCATCCCTACTCTCATAGTCTAATTCGACGGCAATTTGACACAACTGGAGGAGAGATCAGGCGCAGGACCAACAGCTTAAGATGCTTTACGAGGCCAGGGTGGAGAAACATCGACAACTTCCTGACTTCGGGCGGATATTGAGAGTTTTTAGACAAAAAATCCTCATACATTCATTTATTCATTCAATGCAACCTATAAAAGTCCATTGCTCCCCATAGATCCGCTTACAAAGCTGATGTTTGCCATAGTCATCATGCTTGGAAGACTTCTTATGAAATGAAATTAATGATTTTGTTCAATATGGATTATTTTTATAATACTTATTGAAAGTCATTTTTTTATTTACCACTGGTTCGGAAAAAATACCTCTGTCCTGGGAAGAACCAGCAAGAAACCCAGCGGGGCATTTTTTAAATCATATTTCAATTTACAATAAATTTATTTTGTACAATTTCTGAATGATTTTTTATAGAACGTGCATGATGGCGATCACCTGATTCCCAGGAGTTGTTTTCATTTATGTATTCTTTTATATTATAATAACCCTTTTTGCACAAATTTTCTTTAATAAAACATTTAAAATTGTTTATTTACAAATTGGGTACGTTTTCCGGGATTTTGTTGTAAAAGCGTATACATTGGCCCATAAATGAATTACTAATTCTGTGGAGTCTAGTAACTGGTATTACAAGCTTATGTTTGTTCCTAGTGTTTAAAGTATGAACATCTTTATTCTTATTAAAGCTATTTATTTAGCTAGTAAAACCCGATAACAGTTATGGCCCGACCCGGGATTCAAACAGGACTTCATGATCAGCAGTCACGCTTACCGACCACTAGTCCAGCGAAGTAGTAATTATCATATTTGGACGCCAACACCCACAAGACGATATGGAGTATTGGATATATTTACGTCGCAACTACACAGATAGAAAAATCAAATATTCAGTTACTAGTCCTAACAAGGATCCGCAACCCGCGGATACCACTAGAGTCACTAGACCAATGAAACAGTCTGCTATAAAAATGGATTTCCTGAGCTCAGCGCCTTATCTGACAGGAATCTTATCTCACAGAATACCAGCGTCAAATAGTAGCTTAATGCAGCTGTGTTTCGTATGGTGAGTGTAGAGAACCGGAGACCCTTTTTACTGGAAACGAGGTATTCCACATAAGTCCTCACGGGTGACAACGCATCTGCATTTTGATTCGTAATCGAGGATAGATGTAGATGTCTATGGACCACAGCAACCACTTACCATCAGGTGGACTGTGTGCTCGTTTGTCACCCTATCCTATAAAAAAAATCTGCCCTTTTCCTTAGAGGTAATGAGGCTGGCGGATGGTGAATTAAACCATATAAAAAGATACAGTTAATAGTTTATTGCAATATACAAGAGTAGAAGGAAATCCGAAGTAAGAAAGATAGATAGATACACATTAAATGATAAAATATTTTTTTATAGGATTAGGGTGACATTTACATTTATCTCCAATTAAAAATCAAAATGCAGATTCTTTGCCAGCTCTGAGGACTGAGACGGAATGCCTCGTTTCCAGTAAAAATGGTCACAGGACCTACGACCAAACAGTATTGTAATGTCGGACGACCGACATTATCGATCGGGTCTCACAGATCACAGAGTACAACTCGAAATGATTCATTTGTATGATCGACTGGAATGACCCGGTGCGTAAGACGAATCAATACTTGAATGATCGGGTCACTAGAAACGAATTAAATTACACATGCCTATGACTTGGAGAAAACCCGAATGCTCGAGTTATCCTTTGGGGGAGTATATTTCCTTTTATTTTATTTTTATCTTTAAAAAAATAACACTCCCAGAGGAAGATTTTCTTCTGTATCGTGGAGGTAGTTTACATACATATATTGCACAAGCACAAACATCCAGAATCGGAACAATTACTAGTAGGCCATACAAATAGTTGTTCCGTGCAGGATTCGAACCCGCGACCATCAGCGCTGTAACTCATTTCTAAGCCACTGCGCCACGGAGCCGTCAATTTGCTGGCATAAAATCGTTTTTCCAGAAGACAAATGTCTTACAACCTTTGGGAGTCGACTCTGACGACTATGGGATGTCCTATAAAAATCCTATGGCTTCCGTTAGAAGGTGATATAGCTATCTTGCTTACACCATCCATAAAATACGGAGACTGGTGACGGGCAGAAACGTCAAAGGTGCTCACGTCTGGTAATGCGAACCTCAATTTGCCTGCCAAGAGCCCATGTTCAGCTATGAACTTCTCCAGACTAATGGAGCAGTTTTTTACGTGGTAGAGCCACGCTGCAGCTATATTATAGTTCTAGCACGAATCGGGGACTGGGCCACGCTCTCAAAGATGACCAGTGTAATGCTGCTGTGTTTCGTATGGTGAGTGTAGAGAACCGGAGAACCGTTTTACTGGAATCGAGCCATTCCATCTTAGTCCTCATTTGGATATTTGATTCTTAATTGAGGATAAATGTGGATGTCTATAGGCCACAGCATCCACATACCATCCATCCATTCATCAGTGTGCTCGTTTGTCACCCAATACCATAAAAAAGTTTCAAATAAAATAAATTTCTTTTAGATTACTTCTCCGTAAAGAAGGCGTCAATCTTCGTACATCAGCTGAGCTTGAAATAGTGAAAGCTATCAAGGAGCGAGCTTGCTACTTATCTCCAAACCCTCTGAAAGAAGAGAGCATGGATTCTGAAAGGGCACAGTACACTCTACCCGATGGGACACAGTTGGAGGTATGTAGATACCTAATACATATATTATCAGCACTCATTTTTGGTGTAGTTAGGCCCGGTTCCCACCAAAGCAGAGAGGAGACGAGACGAAAGGAGATGTGTTTGAATAAACCAATCCGATTCCGTTATTTCCACATCTCTTCTCCGCTTAGCTTCTGTGGAAATGGATTAAGTGGAGAGGAGAGAAAGGAGATGCGTAATTTTTCTATAGATTTTGTGCGGCGAGCGACCAGGCGGTTTAAAAATTATTCCTTGTTTTCCTATATAATAATAGTAATTTATTTGCAAGAAATATGGTAGTTACGGGATTAATAATTTGGTATGGTACGATCATATTTCGCCAGTGGCATGCAAATATATAATTTTATAATTGCGAGTCTAGTGCTATATATTTTTGTATGGCTCTACCACTGCAGTTATATGAGTAATATAGTTGTAAAACGAATGGGTCGGCTCGACCGGGGAAGGACCACGCTCTCACAGAATACCAGCGTCAAATAGTAGCTTAATGCTGCTGTGTTTCGTATGGTGAGTGTAGAGAACCGGAGACCCTTTTTACTGGAAACGAGGCATTCCATCTTAGTCCTCACGGGTGACAACGCATCTGCATTTTGATTCGTAATCGAGGATAGATGTAGATGTCTATGGGCCACAGCAACCGCTTACCATCAGGTGGACTGTGTGCTCGTTTGTCACCTATCCTATAAAAAAAATATAAATGTTCTATGAATTACTATAGTTAATTACCATTTCGTGATAAACCTAAGAATAAAATGTCACAAGATAAATAACACACATATACGAAGACGTTAACAATAAACAAGAAATAAAACAAAATTCGCTCCATCGTATGTAGGAGAGACCATAGTACAAACTAAAAGATCAATTAAAACCCGCGTTAAAGAACATATAGCTGATGTGAAGAATCGACGCTCCGGGAAGTCTGCAGTCTGTAAACACGTACAGGATCGCCCTCCGTCACTACATCAGATTTGATAGACCACAAATCCTCGCTAAAGAACACCGATTCCTTCCAAGGATGATTCGCGAGGCTATTGAAATCAAAAAACATCATAATTTCAATAGAGAAGATGGCTGAGTGCTACCATCTGCTTGTGATACTATAATTAATAAAATTAAATCCCAACCCAACCATACAACTGCAAGACTTCAAGATACCATAAGTTCATACTGTATAGATCGGAACAAAAGTTAAATTTTAATCTATGGTAACCGCGGTTAACTATGACATCTGGATGTTGAACATCTCAGTCCCTCCCGTGACCATGGTTGCTGTAAAGCTCTCGAAACGTCGAGTATTTAGAAAGTGAAATATACGCGATAAAATCCGTAAAAACTAGTATTATTTCAATGTGTAGTGTTCGCGTAAATATAAGAAATCATTAAGTTTTTTGTAATTAGTTTAGTGGGACATATGTTTTGAATAATTTTACTTTGAAAAAAAGTCCCGCTGAGTTTCTTACTTACTTCTAATCTAATATTTTTAATCTATATAGAAAAAAGTTACTGTAATTTTATATAGCGACTTTTGAAATAATGCTGACTTTAGAAAAGTGCTTTCAAAAACAATTTTGTTTTAAAATATTTTGACTTTGTCTTTACATTTCCCCGCACAGATTGGTCCAGCAAGGTTCCGTGCACCGGAAGTGCTGTTCAGGCCAGACCTCATTGGTGAAGAATGTGAAGGTAATTGGATGCATATTTTCTTCTCTTTATCAGTATGTAAAAATCTGTTGTGTGCGCTCTGCTGGGTAAATACCATTGAAAGTAAGACACTAAGTTTATTTAATAACACGGTATAACAATTCGCTTACAACGACAGCATATTCTAAATTTTGTACTAAAGAGGTACCAGTCTTGATACTGCCAGAGCACATTGACTTTGATCTTACGTGAGTGCCAATAAGTATTAAACGAAAAATAAACTACAAACATAATAGTATTAAGAGGGCATATGCGTTTCGCGTCGAAAACTACATGTTTTATGGTTTTTCCAAAGGCGATATCGTAACGACGTGAGGAGATTATTTGCTGAAAATTAGGGCTTTAGAAAGATGAAGTATTTATTTAGTACATAGCAATGCAAAATCATAGTTTTTAATGACGGTTTTTTAGGGCGAAGACAATCCCTTCACTGTGTTTTACGAAAATATGCATCAGAGTTATCTTTCAGGTTGAATACAACCATTATTATAAGCTAAAATACTTTATTTTAAGCGTTATTATAATGGAATATATAGTCTTTTAGTGTATAGCAAAACCTAAATTACGAAAATATTTCGATTTAATATTATAAAATAATATTATAAAATCACCAAAACTGTCTACTTCAATGTAATTTTTTCCATGTATTTGCTTATAAACATATCTATTTTAATTATTTTATCAAAATACATGTAATGTTAAATATCCAAAAAAAAAATTAGCTCGTTTTATTTTGTCAATTATTTTATATAATTATTTTAAAAATACTATAAAACATCATGCGCAGACGCCGTTCGATTCAGTACGCTCCAGGTAATCCCAACGACAGGACGTATCACTTTTTCTCACCGACACCGCGCGATCGCGTTGATACACCGATAGAGATATACTACATTATACTATAACTAGCTACCTATAGCACCATCGCGCATTTTAAACGATTGAGACTTTTATAAGCGATATTTTTGGTAGTAAGTAATTTTGAAATATGTTTATGATTGTAATATTTAATATGTTTAATGTTAATATTAAATGATGTAATGGCGACAAATTTTCATTTCATACATATTTTTTTAGAAATGAGTAATGAACGTAAGCAGTTCGCACCAAGTAAAAATACAAAATCGTTGGCTTTCACCTTTATCTCCGTTTAATATGTTTAATGTTAATATTAAATGATGTAATGGCGACAAATTTTCATTTCATACATATTTTTTTAGAAATGAGTAATGAACGTAAGCAATTCGCACCAAGTAAAAATACAAAATCGTTGGCTTTCACCTTTGGCTCCGTGGCGGAGTGACTTGGTAATGAGTTGTAGCCCTGAGCGCCGCAGGTTCGAATCCCACATTGAGCAAAAATTTGTATTACCTACAAATAATTGTTCCAGGTCTGGATGTTTGTTCTTGTGAAATTAATGTATTTAAACTGCCCCAACGATGTACTTAGGAAAAATTCCTAGTGCGGAGATAACGTTATGATTAAACAAAGACATGCCATCAAAAACATAACTTGTAAAATAACCAAGTCTCGCAATGATGATACGGCCGTGCCGCTGTTTTGGTCGACTTGGCGGGGGAACTACCGTGCCCCCAGACATAAAACATATGAGCCGTGCTTGAGTTGAGTAGCTCAAGGGCGTAGTGCTCGCCGTAAACGCGAACAATCCGGGCTCGATCGCCGCTAGTGTTGCCAGGTGTCCCGATTTGCGCGGGACATCCCGATTTTCAAGGGTCTAGTGGCACGTCCCGATTCACCCTTGATCGGGACGCCAAATGTCCCCATTTTCACTAACATTCTTATTCTATACTTTAATCCATAATTTAGACAGCAAAAATGATTATATCTGTTAGCTACTACCACATTAAAATATTTTTACTACGACATTGTCTCACTAGTCGAAAAAAACCACAAAAGTTTTAAACAGAATTATGTTAAAATGAGTGATTTGAAAAATTCAAGGACTGCAAAAAAAAAAAACAAATAGTTCAAAAATGTTTCAATTTGCTTAAAATGAAAAACAAAATCAGTTTTTACGATGTTTGGATGAAAAGTTATTCGTTTATGAGATCAGACCCGAATAATAATTATAAAGCACAAAAATAAAGTAAAGTTACAGTCACAATTTCTCGCATTACTAGCATGTGATATTTACACTTTACAGTTAGCGTTGACCATCTGAGCTACCACGGCTCTCAATAAAGCACAAAAAGGCTACAAAGAAACCTATATTTTGTAGTCATTCTAGTTGTCCGGATATGAAAACCAAATCCCCGATTATTTTTACCTTCTGTCCCGAAATTTTACTTGCTAGACCTGGCAACACTACTCCCCCGCCGACACTAATGAAATTGTTAGTTTGTGATGAATTATGTTTACATTATGAAACAGAATAAAAGTTTATCAAATGATATATATTTTATACAATACATATTTTTCAATTAGAACATATACATATTATAATATACCTACTCAATAGGGTGAAAATGTAAAGCCGACTTCAATTTACTAAAAGAATAAAACAATTTCCACATATTAGCCTCCGATTTCTATACACTATATAAGCCATTATATGGAAATTATTTTTTATTATTTTAGTTCTAATAGTATCAAAGACTATATAATCAAAGATCAAAGTGATTCTAAAGGCAACTATTATAGCCTCACGCTCGTCCTGACACGCACACAGAGATAACATTGTAGTGTGCGTCAATATTACGCCGTTCCAAAGCGATCGCGTAGATTTCGACTTGGACATATTTGAATATGCGCTCTATATTATATATATATATATATATATATATATATATATATATATATATATATATATATATATATATATTGTTTGTGTGTGTGTGTGTGTGTGCGTGTTGCGTGTGCGTGTGCGTGTGCGTGTGCGTGTGCGTGTGCGTGTGTGTGTGTGTGTGTGTGTGTGTGTGTCATGGTCCCACCCACAGCACTTAATCCCATAAAAACTTATATTTAGAGACTATTTGTCTATGAAGAACTTTGGCATTATAGTAAAGTAACAGCCTATATACGTCCCACTGCTGGGCACAGGCCTCCCCTCATTTCTGAGGGGGTTTTAGGGCAAGGAAGTGTCCGCCGCGCTGGGCATTATAGGCTCAATGTGAAATTCAACTTCTTATTTAGTGTGTAAGCTGGTAGAGTCACACTGCAGCTATATTATGGTTGTACCACGAATGGGTTGGTTCGACCAGGGTAGGACCATGGCTCTTACAGGATACCAGCGTAAAATAGCAGTTTGATGCTGCTATGTTTCGTATGGTGAGTGTAGAGAATGGAGGCCTATTTTACTGGAGATGAGGCATTTCATCTAAGACCTCAGGGGTGACAATGCAATATGCATTTTGATTCTTAATAAGGATAGATGTCTATGGGCCACAGCATCCACTTACCTTTTCTTTAAATCAAATCATTACTGTTAAGTGAGCTGTGTGCTCATTTACTTTTACTAGTTCAACTTAATTCTACAAAACAGTAACAAATGTCGCCACAGTATTAATATTGAATTGTATCTTTTATTCCAGGTCTTCATGAGGTGCTGATGTTCTCCATCCAGAAGTCGGACATGGACCTGCGTAAGGTCTTGTACCAAAACATAGTTCTGAGTGGTGGCTCAACGCTGTTCAGAGGCTTTGGGGACAGGCTGCTAGCGGAGATCAGACGGCTGGCGCCCAAGGACATGAAGATTAGGGTATGTTTTTGATCATATTATTCTGATTAGAATTATACAACTTGCTTTATTCTTAGCATATCTTCCGAATGGGTCTGTTTTTGGGTTGTCATTTGGGTTTATACAAACAATATTATTGACGCAATACAACTTCAAATGCATTATTTGTAGATAATTTTACAGTAACAATTTGTGGAGGGGCCAAGTTTTAAAAATTGTCACTTATTAAGATAATTTTATTAAGAAATTAATAACCATTAGAAATTTTTTTATCATACTTTTTTTAGACCGTGATAAAGATTAAAAAGTAAAGCCAATATATCTTCAATTTTTATTTTTAATATGTTCCCATATGCTATAGCTTTCGAGATAATATTTAAAAACCTGAGTTTAAAGTGGTTTTCAAAAGTGGCTAAAACTGTATGAATTTTTTATAAATTCTATGCGAGTGAAAATGCAGGTAAAATCTAGTTTGAATAGTAGTTCAATTACAATCTATTAAGTGTTATTATCGAAATGATGGTAGAAGTTAGATGGTAGAAGTTTTTTCTCAAAATCAAGATTTATCAACATTCTCGTCTGGAGTTTTATGCTAGATATTTCCGTCCCCATTGTAGAAAGGATTAGTGTCCGTAACACCAGATCTCTCGCACCATACTGCCTTCCAGCGCTGTCAGGATGCCTTACTTGTCTTTACTCCGTAATCGTATCTAACATCACCCACGGAAATAAAATGGGTTTCTGCATTTTTTCAAACAACAATCAGCAGGTGTTGTTCCAACCAATAAGAGCATTTATTAAATTTTTGTCTAATTCCTAAGAATTTTACTACCCCATTTTACACTGTGGGTTTATTAAGTAGCCATATAATGTCCTCCAGACCGAATTCCGGTCACGGCGGCCAGCCTCAACGGAGGCTAGCCATCTCCGCATGACAGGATTATAGTGCCCAAGTGTATGCGCAAGCACAGGTGCACTCTCTTTTTTATTCCCTCACTCTCATAATCCGATGGGACGGTAAACCGACACGACCGGAGAGAGATCAGGCGCAGGACAACGGCTGTACGTGCTTTCTGAGGCACGGGGGTGAGACACCGCCAACTTCCTGACTCCGGGCACAGCTACTGAGAATTTCTTGACGGAAAAACTCGATAATTAATTTTTTGGCCCGACCCGGGATTCGAACCCAGGACGTCATGATTAGCAATCGCACAACTAAAACCACTAGACAACCAAGTAGCCATATATAGAAATTCCAATGTGGTAAAGACATTCTGTAACTATATAATGGCTGTAGCACGAATGTGTCGGCTCGACCGCGGTCCCTCCCAAAGAGAAATCCTTTTTCACTAGAAACGGGACCTTCCATCTTGGTCCTCAGGTTACATCATATCTGCGTTTTAACTTTGAATGTACTTACCATCAGGTGGAATGTATGCTTATTATTTCATTTGACATACTTTTTTTTTAAACGTTACCTCCACACTAGGATTTTCTCCTGTATCGTAGGTGCAGTTTACATACATACATATATTACATAAGAACAAACATCCAGACCCGGAACAATTACTTGTAGGCCATACAAATACTTGTTCCGTGCGGGGTTCGAACTCGCAGCCCTCAGCGCTGTAACTAATTGCTAAGCCACTGCGCCATGGAACATCTTGTTTAAATAATATTTTTTTTTAAGAATGCCAGAAAAAGTCTTATGGCTACCAATAGGTGGCATTATTACCATCTTGTTTTAATAATCAAATCCAGACAGACAACGGGAAGCAGTGTTAAAAGTACAAGGTCTGATACTTCACCTGCCCGACAAGTGTAGGGATTATGTCAAATTCTTCAGTGTATGGATCCCCATGTCCAGCTGTAGACTGCTTATGGGATAACGATAAAACATTATTACTGAAACGAGTACCAGAACAGTTCAGGATTATGACTTTGTTAACTTTTTTATATAGGATAGGGTGACAAACGAGCGCATAGTCCACCTGATGGTAAGTGGTTGCTGTGGCCCATAGACATCTACATCTATCCTCGATAATGCTGCTTTTACCCGTGAGGACTAAGATGGAATGCTGGAGAATAAGGTTCTCCGGTTCTCTAATCAATACGAAACGCATTAAGCAGCTATCCTCCCCATCTCTACCTATTCTATATATATATATATATATATATATATATATATATATATATATATATATATATATATATGTTATGTATGTGTATAATGTATAAAACGTAATTAATATTTTGTTTCCAGATCTCAGCACCACAAGAGCGACTATACTCAACATGGATAGGGGGTTCGATTCTCGCTTCACTCGACACATTCCGCAAGATGTGGGTCTCCAAGAGGGAGTACGACGAAGAAGGGCACAGGGCCGTTCACCGCAAGACATTCTAGACTCTAACTGCATAAGCATAAGATTTAATTTGCGTTGCTGTATCGAGTGAATGGATTATGAGACGGAAGATTTGTTATTTATGTATGTAATGTTCATAAGTCGGAGTTTTGATAACGATATGAATAATGTGGATATGCCTTATACAAAGATTTTTATTGTTAAGTCTTCTTAAAGTAACTTAATTAACTAAATTAACTTTGTGATCGTATTTCGTTGTATTTGAGTTGTTGTGTATTTTCTTTAAGTTCGTGCGTGGTAGCTATTTTTTTAATCTTTAAAAAAGATCTCGACTAACTCTGTACTCTTAGTTGTTAAACATATATATACTGCTTTTGCAACACTAGCCTTGCAATTGGTATGGATTGCAATAGTCAAAGGGTAAAAACATTCATTTAAATGCTTAATAATAATTGACAACAAAAAAATGTATTTTTTTGTTTGTTTCGGACTTACAAAGCATTATGTGCATGGTAAGACTATAAAACAAAATACCTACTGGTTAACACTTAGTAAATTTTTGAAGTTGTTTAACTTTTAACCGTCGTAAATTGTCAAATATTAGAATCGATTTTATAAGCATATGGAAGTGTATAATAAAACTTCCACTCGATCATGAGTTTTCTATTGTACGAATCCCTACCGCCGTCGAGTAATGTATAATAAAACAGTTCTATTTACATCCTTCAGGCAACGTTCTTCATTTTTCCATAAAATTTTAGTCGATGACGACACGAAAACGTCAGTATTAAAAACTTATGCTAAGGGCACAGAACGAAAGTAAGAGCGAACGCTCGTATTAGACATGTCCCTCTTTCATTTAAAGTGACCCGATCATTCAAGTTTTGATTCGTCTTACGAACTGGGTCGGTTCAGGTCGATCATTCAAATGGACCATTTCTAGTTTCAATACTCTTTGATCTATGAGACCCGCTAGATAATGTCGGTCGTCGGACATTATTATAGTCTTTGGTCCTAGTTCTTGTTGATCACTTGATCTTTAACATTCAAAAAATGTAATTGCAATCATCAATACTTTGACGCGTCCCCGGTCAAAAGAACGAATCATTTACGATTGTCACATGTTTAGCTCGTATATAGGAACTATGCATTAACCAATTCCTTTTCCAGCCACAATTCTAGATTCAAACTTATTTTATAAATGCATTAATAATAACATTTTCATAACGAACAAAATAAATAAATAACATTTGCTTCCTATTTTTATATTTCCACCAACCGTTCCTACTACTTTCGAGAATATTCACAATACTGACGTAAGTTTTCTTTGGTATTATCGATGATATTTTTTGTTTTAAAAATAAATAAAATATGTCATATCCATAATATTTATATCGGTGCAACATTCTGGACTTTGCACGTAGCGCGAATATTTCCAGCATTAACTTATATTATTTAAGTGAAAAGTTTATATAAATATACATATATCTAAATCAGAAAAGCGTTTAATTTTACTCATTGAAATTCGTTTTACGATTATTTGTAGAGATAAACTTGGTGGAGTCATGCTGCAGTTATATTAGTAGTATAGTTGTAGCACGAATGGGTCGGCTCGACCGGGGAAGGACAACGCTCTCACAGAATACCAGCGTGAAATAGTAGCTTAATGCTGCTGTGTTTCGTATGGTGAGTGTAGGGAACCGGAGACCCTTTTTACTGGAAACGAGGCATTCTATCTTAGTCCTTACGGATGACAACGCATCTGCATTTTGATTTGTAATCGAGGATAGATGTAGATATCAATGGCCCACAGTATCCATTTACCATCAGGTGGCCTGTGTGTTCGTTTGTCACCCCATCCTATAAAAAAATGCAAAAAAGTTTCACTGGATTATATAATATTGCTTAATAATTGGGTATCGTTGTCGATCCATCCGTCGCGTTGATCCCGTAAAGGTGACACCCGGAAATGAAATAGTAGATGACCAGCAACATCTTCCTGATAACAAAACTTGGCAAATATAGGCGACGGTTGTAACACTTCATACGTGGTAGCGCCACGCTGCAGATATATTATGGTTGTAGCACGAATGGGTCGGCTCGGCCAGGGAAGTACCACGCTCACACGTGAAATAGCATCTCAAAGAAATAAAAACGCTGATGTGTTTCGTATGGTGAGTGTGGAAACGGAGACTCTTTTTACTGGAAACTGCATTTTGATTTTTAGTCGAAAATAGATGTAGATGTCTTTGGGCCACAGCACCCATTTACTGTGAGCTCGTTTTAACCCTTATTCTATAAAAAAAAAGATGCGTGCAGCTCACACGCGACAGAAGTGAAACCTTCGAATGAAATGAAATATAAATTACAAATACTATAAATTATTTATTTAATATTATAATTTAAACTACAAGTTCGGCATAAAATATTAGAAAATATAATTTTATAGTAAATAAATGTAACAATCCCTTTAATTATTAGAAACGGATATTATATTACTCTTTTCGATATACCTTATATAGTACTCACTAATTACAAAAAGATTTATATCAATTTTACCTATTACGAAGTTGAGGTTTGGCAGTTCTTCACTGCTTGTTTAACGAATTAATGCATATTCGTACCACAGTTCGTACCTTGTTGAACAAAACGCGTAAGCGACGCCGTTTCGGCGGCGTTTACGAATTTTTTTCGCGAACATTGAGCTAAAATCTGTAATGCTTCCTATCTAATTTTCTCCCACATAAAATCTAATGAATTTATGTGTCTGTCTCTTTTTACTGTCGTTTTTTCGTTTCATCCAGTTTTAAATCACAACGATGCTAAGGGAGTTTTCACTTCAAAAAAAAAACTGCACTTACAATTTCACGCTTATGATTATTAGATATTTTTTTGACTTCTTAGTTTTTTTTCTTTATACAGCTCGCTGGCGCGAGTGCAGCGAGACAGTGCGCTGTTGCGGCTGCAGACTTAAATTCTTTTTACCCGTTTTCAGTATAGCGTATTTCTACTTTTCGCTTGTTTTATAATCTTCAGTGACTGTGTTAAAAGTAAACTCTAAATTAAATAATTATTACAGACTCAATTTGATCTTTCTTGATCTAATATTGGACTTTTTTGTTGACCATACCACCCGAGAGACAATGCAGTTTTATTTACTTATTCTCTATTTAAATACCCCCTATAAAAATCTATGGCGGATATCTATGTTTATAACTGGCGAATGCCAATGACGTCATAAATTGACGCCACATTGTACTGACGTGCTGCCGCCATATTGTGTCGTATATCCCGCCATATTAAAACAACTTTTAATTGTGTGTACGCTGAATAAAGCATGACAGAATTTGTTTTATTTATTCAAATACAAACAATTATAGAATTATTGCTGGTATCTCCATTCTTGACAAATTAATTGAAACAGGATATAATAATTTTTGGAGCACAAAATGACATAAAATAATCGCCAACACTTTTCCAATATGGCGCAAATGTATGATGTCATATACTGGCCAATGTTTTGAAACGAATCACTAATATGGCGTCGATTTATGACGTTATTTGCATTAGCCAGTGCACTAGGTTCTATTTCGGAACACACCCTTGATAAGTCGTAAGTAGACAGGTTAGGAACCGTCTTACGTGGTAGAACCACACTGTAGCATAAATGAGAAGGCTTAGCCGGGGAAGGGAATTAGAGTGTAATTCTCAGCATACATATCTGCTATGTAACTGCTATAATATGTAATGGTGCTGGGTCTACGGAGAGAAAGGTATTGCAAGCGAATGATGGTAACCACAACTTTCGGCCACCAGAGCGGCGCCATTTACGATAGAGGTGAAATATTTGACAGATTTTGTAGCGCACGTAGTAAACCACCGAAGCATTGTTTTGTTTTTTTTTCACATAATTTAGAAACCGACAAAATTTTATTTAAAACTCAATTTCTTGATTATAATAGAGTTGGGCCGATTATTCGATATTCGGCAGCTTTACCGAATATTCGTATTCGGCCGATTATTCGGCTAAATCACCGAACATTCGTTAAAGTGGCACTCAAAATGTCCACAGTATTGAAATGTACGAACTACGAACTGAGTAATGGCATGTCTTTCATAATTTTACTGTTGTAGCGGTGTTCTATAGAACGAAAAAACACAAACGCCACAAAAGAAAAGAACAAACGTTTTACTGTCCAAAAATTGACATAGTTAAAGGAAAACGTTACAAATAGGTTCTATTATAATTAACTATCTAGGCTTAAAATGATTATGAGAAAATTATGTTTGCTTGCAAGTTCAGATATTTTTTATTATTTTGCTTGAGTGAGCAACTGCGCGAAATAAATCAATAGACCAGAGTGTATCTATGAGAGCTAAAACCCGCGAATTACTGTCTCCACCTACAGCGCCCTCTGGAGCGTACTTTATATGGCGTTATCAATATATCGACTCGGCACACGAATGGACCTACCATTCCGAGTATTATTAATAGATCGAGAAGATATGCGCGCTACACTGTTGAAAGTATATTTTATTTATTGGTTAAATCTACTCGTATAGCGTTAGGTTTTTGAGGTACCGTAGATTTATTTCCAATTATAGGAAATAGAAAGCTTGATAAACTGTTTTTGGAATCGAACAAATAAACACATTACATTAGTACATTTCACTTTACTTTGGTCGTCAGTTTCTCTAAATAAGTCCAAATAGCTCTCTCCTGCCACTCATCTATACATAAAATAAAACAGTAACGAAAGAAAAACTGTACATTGAGTATTTTCGAGAAAAAATAAGTGGCTTTTGTTAGAAAAACGTAACTGATGACAAAACGTGACTTTTTAGAATGTTTGTCTGTGTGTATGGTACGGCTCCACGCCAAAACTACTGGATAGATTGAATTGAAATTCAGCAAAAATGTTCTTTGTAAACCAAGGAAGGCTTTAGGCTACATATTATCACGCCGTATATTATAGGAGGTAAGCAGTATTGATTTTAAAAGGATTTTCTTCGTAATTGAATGCACAAAATAATTGAATGC